CGGTAAAGTGTCCTGTCGGTAAAGTGTCTTGTCGGTAAAGTGTCCTTTCGGTAAAGTGGGTGTCGGTAAAGTGTCCCGTCGGTAAAGTGTCCTGTCGGTAAAGTGTCTTGTCGGTAAAGTGTCCTTTCGGTAAAGTGGGTGTCGGTAAAGTGTCCCGTCGGTAAAGTGTCCTGTCGGTAAAGTGTCTTGTCGGTAAAGTGTCCTTTCGGTAAAGTGGGTGTCGGTAAAGTGTCCCGTCGGTAAAGTGTCCTGTCGGTAAAGTGTCTTGTCGGTAAAGTGTCCTTTCGGTAAAGTGGGTGTCGGTAAAGTGTCCCAGACCCCTCACAAATATATTAATTATGTAGACTGATTAGCGAATGGGGAAATTTGTTGTTTTATGAGGAGGCAGATTTACTTTCTACAATTGATAATGATGATGAATTTGAGATGGATGATTTATTATTGAATCAAACACATCCTGCGTTAGACAATACAGCAAAATGTCAAATAAAAAATATTTTTGTTGATAATCTGGAAAGATAGCACCCGTGACACTTTTATGGTTTGTCGCGCATAATTTCATAGAAAATTGATATTTGTCACGGGGTGCTATCTTTCCAGATACAATTCAATGGGAAAAAATTCAAGTGGCACATTTTCTCTATTAATTAATGATTGGGTGTAACTTGAAACCCGCCAATTCTGCCGATTGAACTTTATAATTTTATAGAATAAATCATAAAATCATTTCTAAATTTGAACAATTCAAAATTTAATATTAAATTTAGCTTTCCCAAAAAAACATAGTAAAGTTGTTTTAAATTTTTAGCTCAACCTTAAAAAAAAATTTTTTAAAATTGTTTTTATAAATAAATAAAAAAGAAGAAAATGTCCACTACAGGCTCTCCTTGGTTTACTGGATCAGTCATGGAAGCAGTTAATCTGGCAACAACCAAGAATGTTATTTTCATGGTCTACATTTATGGTACTGTTATAATTATAATTAGTTAATAGTAATGTTTTATTACTTAATTGATGAAAATTAAATTTCAAATTTTTTTCTCAATTATTAGACGAAAATGAGGAAAGTCAACAAATGAATAATATAACTGAAAATTCAAATGTAAATAATTATTAATTATTAAGTTTAATTAATCAAGATGATTGTCTATTTATTTATTATTGTTATTATTTATTTTTTTTTTTTCTTTCATTTTCACAAATTAAAAAAAAGTCCGCAAAAACCATAAAAGATAAGACTGTCGCACTTCGGATATCTCGTGATTCAGAGGAAGCTATCATGTTTGGTCAACTTTGTGTGTATCGGCCGTTTGGATCTATTTTATATATAATTATTTTTGGCCTAAAAAAAAAATAGGATCATGCATATTTAAATATATATGACTTTATGATTTTGATTCCAAACACGCTCACACACTTGCAAACATAATTTCTTTTGATATTTAGTCACTATAACAAAAGTTCCAAGCATTTATCTTATTCGGTAAATCATAACTATTTGATTTATTTATTTTATTTTTCTTAATGGTTTAGTTTATCATATTAAATACATATTAATTGATTGATTGATTTTTGATTTTTTAGAGTTGGTGCTGTACGTGATTATATTCCTGGAGTGGTTTCTGAAGAAAATCTCATTTCTAGAATTAATACAGTCGCTTCTTTAAATCTATCCATTCCGACTTCTACTTCTCTTCCTGTTTCTCCTCCCGTTGTATCATCTATCTCTCCTCCTACACCATCACCACCACAACAACAATCCTCTTCAAGTACAACATCAACATTAACAGCACCATCAAATTCATCTTTTCAAACACAAACATCTGAAAATTCTAACGATAATCTAATAAGTAGTACAGCAAGGTATTTTATTTTTATAAATAGAGACAATGATGATTATTATTATTAATGATGATTTTTTTTTTAGAATTCAATCAAAAATTGAAGAAAAAAGAAAGAAAAGAGAACAAGAACAAAAGAGAGTAATTAATCTATTATATATTTTATTTTTTTTAGAAAATATCTCAATATTTATTACATGTAAATTATTTTTTTACATAAAAAAAATATTATATATAGGCAGAAAAAGAACATGAAATTAATCGTAGAACTCAGGGAAAAGCTATGCAAGATGTTTATCGACAGCAAAATGAAGCTAAAACTAAAAAAATTGCTGATGAATTTGCAAAACAAAAAAAAGATGAAGAGGAAGCAAAAAGACGTATTAGAGAACAGATTGCATTGGATAAAGCTGAACGTCAAGCTAAACGACAAGCTGAATTATCATTACGTCAACAACTACAACAAGAAGAAGAACAACAAGAGACATTTAGTAAAAATGATAAAGTAGGAATAATTAATGGAAGGCGAGTTTATTTTGTATATTACTAAAAAAAATTTTAATAGATAAAATATTATTTATGTAATGTAATTTTTGTTTTAATATATATATAAATTATATATTATGTGATTATTTTATTTTATTTTATTATTATAATTATTAATAGCTATAATCATAGTAATATAAGTGTACGTCTTTTAAATGGTGATATTGTTCGAAAAAAATTTCAATCAACACAAACTCTCGAAGATGTTAAAACTTGGATTGAAGAGGTAATAAAATAATATTATTATATACACACACACTGTATGCTACTACAAAATAATTTTAATTTTAATTTTAATTTATAAATAATTCTCTTGATTCTAATTAAAGGATCGGACAGATGGAAAAGCTCCTTATAATTTAATTCAAAATTTTCCACATCGTCAATTCAGTATTAATGATGAAACTAAATCACTTAAAGAATTAAATCTTTGTCCAAGTGGGACATTAATATGCAAGGTTTTCTTCTATTTAATTTATTTTTTATTTTTTTAAAATTAAAATTAAAATTAAAAATATTTTACATGTACAATTTTTACGCATATATTTTAAGCCAAATAAAAATGTTTCCATAGCATATTCGAGTGATGGTGGATTCATTTGGAATTTTTTTTCATTAGGGTTTTCAATGATTGGAACTTTGTTGAGTTATATCAATCCATTTTACTATTTTTATAGTGGTAGTAGTCAACAACAACAGAGACAATTTAGAAATTCTAATAATGAAAGACATGTACCAAATAACAATTCCAATCAATCTGATAATCACAACAACGATGATATTATTAACAACAACAACAACAATAATAATAACAGCAGTAGTAGTAAATCATCAGAAAGGTAAAAAAAAACGAATAAATATTTAATATTAAAAAATATTTTATTTTATTTTTATTATTTTTTTAGGCGTAACTATGGTGGTAACAATGTTAGAACTCTTTCGCAAAACGATGATGATATTGATAAACGATGGACTTATAATGGAAATTCCACAAATCAGGAATAAACATTTTTGATTTGAAAAAAACAAACAAAATTGCTTTATCATATCATATTTTTATTATTATTTTTTTAACATTAATATTTTTGAATTAATAATATATAATGCAATTTATAATTAATAATAAACTCAATTTCATATGGAAGGGCATACTGAAACAAAACCAGCTTTTTCATAATGTCACAAGATAATTTGAAACCATTGAAAAATTGCTCAACGTTACAATTGTACTATTGATGTGATATATATCAGTAGTGTAGTCCTTTGCCTGTGCTTATTTTCGTCGCTTCTTGTGTCTCATTTTAATCATTTAATAAGGTAATTGGTCCAAAGGTAGGCAGATACTGGATTGTTTTCATTTGTTGGGTTATTGCCTAGTGTCTTTTTCTTTGCGCATATATATTCTCTTGGTTTGCATCCTGCTTTCTTGTAGGCAAGTTTTTCTTTCTAAAGGGCACAAGATGCATTTGCATATCCTCTTGTAGTAGGCAGACTCAAAGGAAAGTAAACCACAAAATCTTCGTTTGGTCCTAAAAGTTTATCATTAACAAAAGTTCTTTTGCTCAAACCATTTTTTATAATTGTTTTAAAACCTAATTCATTAACATCATGCATGTTGATTGTTTTTCTCTAATGGATGGGTGATAATGATAATAATAATATTATAGAAATGATAATGATTTCAATATGTGCATATAATTAATTAAGTTATTGTTACTTACAATCAAAATTATGCATTGTATACTTGCAACGGATGGATTGTCAATCCACAAATTGGCTTCCTGATTGTACCCAATAGTTATAAGATTTTGGACTTCTGATAAAACAACTCTTTGATTTAGATATATAAGAGTTGAAATTGGCTTAGCATTGGCTTTAGCAAGCTCAAATCGTCTCATTCTAATAAGTTTATTAATATCATCATCACCACCACTACCAGCGTTATTGTCATTATTATTATTGCTGTTATTATTAAAACTAGAGTGACAACGAAACACTTACCTAGAAATGTTTGGAACGAATTCTTGATTTCTTTTGTAAGCGTTGGTTTTTGACATTTTGAAGAGAAAAATAAAAATTTGAAATGTTTATTTATTATTATTATTGGCACTTGGTGTTGTACAAAGGTTTTTTTTGTTGATTGATTTTTTTTGATAACAAAAACGTGAGTGTAGTTGTTTGGTATGGTTTAGGTCTGAAGACGTGTTAATGAGAGGTACTTTTTTTATTTGTATTGGTATATATGTCTTTTAGTTTATAAATATTATAATTGAATCAAAATGCGGAGCAGATCTTGTTGGGCAATTATAAGATCCTTATCAAGATGGTAAACAAATGAACAATTGGTATTTAATCAGTAATATTAATATTAATATAAATATATAATTACATGAAGACATCAATGCAGCACACTGTTGAATATGAAACAATTTATATATATGAGAAGTTTGATTATAGGAAAATGGCAGATGTTGAAGCATGCATGCTACCTTGAACACTTTACAGTCATTCTCACACATTCCTCGTGTACACAAGGCCAATCTGACTAGTTGGCCCAATTGTACATGATATTGTTAGATTTCAGGGGGGACGTGGTCCTGGGGTTTACTGAGACTGCATCAATCGTTAAGAACACTTTCACTAATCTTCCCAGACCAGAGAAGACTGCTGGCATGCTGGCAAACAAATTGCCTGCAACAATCCACTTCTAGGGTAAAGATGGCTCTGTGACCAAGTCACAACACTGGAGCCCATATAACCCATTCTAGGATAGAGGAATGTAGCTCAATGAGAACATGTATCTTACAAGTATAAAGGTGGCAGTTTAACTCTGCTCACTCCTATTGTGATAGTCACCATGAACACTGGCATCAAGGTAGAAGCTGTAAAATAAAATGGTTCAGATTTTGTTTGGTATGTTATGTATAAATTAATCTTTAATTTTTATTTGACCAACTGGATTTGTTATTTAAATAAATGGGAATAGGATTGTTGGTGAGTAGGCATGCCACCAACAAAACGGCAACCCAGGAGTCAAAACTTTGAATTCAGGGAAAATCCAAAACAGCAACTTCCCAGGTTGTAACTTCCTGGGTTGCAGATACGAACTTTATTCTACAGGTTGGGATAACACAAAGCAATTATCACTCGAATTCTGATCCTCATCAGCAATCAATGCTCATATGGTAACAGCCAAGCCTAGTCTGGGAGGAGATAAGAGAAGTTTTGTCCAATGTCTACCAACTTGTTCAATTGTTTCACCTGTGGAAAAAATTCCACAGTTATGAGGCGTGTGAAAGCATAACGCTTGCTTGTTTGTGACAGGAAAATTTTAATTGAATCCGACGCTTGTGATCAACATCAGATTTATTATTCATAAGGAACTACAATTGATAATCAGGGAAAATAATTTATTTTGTGAAACCCAGAGGTCTGGGTAGATACACATTATTAAAAGTTTCATTTATTGACCATCATGAATATTTGATGGATGGAGGCATTCACATACAAGGAAATGATTAAATAGCTAAGTCGTGTTTGTTTTATTAAAGAAATATGATTAATTATATATAATAAAAAAATTGCAAGGTTGCACCACTATATCAATCAAGCTATAATTTTTGAAAAAACAGGGAGTTTTTGAAAATATACAAGTTCAAATATAATAAGCGAGTAACATCAATTACTACATTTTGAAAATAATAATTATCATTACTCAACCACTGGATTAATTTATTACTTATTTAATGTGTCATTATTATTATTTTCATTATTATTATTATTATTATTAATTTTTAAAAAATAGAAGATCTTTGAGTAATACAACTAGACTGTTGGTTTATTTCATTTCACTAATTCATTAATCCATTAAAAAGAATAAATAATTTGAATACTTATATAAAGGAAGCAGGTCTCAATACATCAACTGAAAACAATGGTGCATGCTTATCTGTGACAAGGATGACATATACACCGAAAAAATAAACTCATTAAAATTTTATTATGCCAACTTTAATTATTTTTTAATTGATTGTATGAAATGAAATTTAAGTCATAAATAAATACTTATATTCTAATAAAATAAATTATTGCAAGCAACTATGAAAACATTGATCAATTAATTTTTCATGTGGTGTGGGAAATGGAATGATAATCTGCTAATTTCTTGTCTTTTAGCTGAAGAATACCACATCAAGAATACTGTGATTTTCAGCCAAAATATTCAGGCTGGTAAAGCTCTTGTTTGATTTTTATGGAGGATTAAAGATAAACATAATCTTCAACTTCTGCAATTATATATTAATGGCTCTTTTTCTAGTTGTTTCTTTACAGGATTTATGATTTGAAACAATACCCAGAGTTCACTTTACGTAATAGCAAAAATTCCAAATTTTGATTCTAAGATCACAGGGTTGCTACAAAACATGTAAAAATAAAGTAGGTTTCACCTGTTAATTATTTTGTCTGTTTGCATAAGTAAAATCCATACTAATTAATATATACCTTATCATTAATCAAATCGCAAAATTGGTAAATGAGGATAATCTGAAAACAAAGAAAAAGAAATATTTTTATTTCATAGACATAAATATTCGGACATTTTAGCACCCTTGATTTTAATATCTCCATATAAATAATAGTAATAAAATTGATTTATCGATTTTTTTATTTAAAGAAAATTTCTGGCCGGGTTAGGCTAAAACCGACAGATCGCGTGACCGACTTATGTATGTTAATATATTTAGTGTACTAGGACAGTCGCTTTTTTTTCTTGTTACATTTTAATAAAATTATGTATGCAATTAAAAACATTAATATTAATGATTTATTTAATCCAAGAAGAGATACTTTTTGTTGCATAACAAGTGCGGAAGCTTACTTAAATATGTACATCAAAAAATTTAGGAATTCTTAAATAATTAAAATGTATTAAAGTTAAAAGAGGAATTTTTAAAGAAAAATGAATATCTGACGGGATTTATGGGTTCTTGATATATATTTGTTTTATTTTATATGGTGGTGATTCAATGTATGTATCATTCATTATTGAGTATATCACGTGATTTATTATATTTTGACAAGTTTAAATTTTCCAATCCCAATTGAAAACCAACGCGTAACATTTTAAGAAATTTATATTACGACAAACATTATAATTAGCGCACATGTAGCGGGATAAAAAATGTCGGTTAAATCGAGATTCAGTGTGTACTCCCTCAGGTTTCATTTTTATCATTTGTCATTTGTTAAACAACAACATTACATCTTTTTATTTATTATTATTCACTACTACATAGGTTGCTTGCCGATATTCTGACAATAATTTCGGCTTTCCAATATTCTTTATATAAATAATTATTGCTATGCTATTTGATTTCGACAACTATGAAAATTAATTTCGGCTACTATGAAAAAATAATTTATTTTTGTCATTCCCAAAAAAAACTTTTTTAGATTTGGCGATGATCATTTATCATTAATATTAAAGAGGTGTAATTTCGGCTAACGTCTTGGTGTTTTAAATGGCTTGAGTTTTTTTTACTCAAACACGAATATTCACCAATTTAGAAATAATTACAGTAATAATTTATAATGAATTTAGTCAACAATATTGTTAGTAAATTACTAATACTAAAAAGGAATCGGAATCTGATATTTTAAGATAAAGCGTAAAAAAAGATCCTTCATATTCTAATATATATTAATATATATTTTATGCTGGCTAACTTCCAATAATATAGTTGCAGCCACAAATATTTCTTTAAATAGAAATTTTTTATTAACTGTGGCTTATTCAAACGGCCGCCGCTATAATTAATATTAATATTAATATCGAGTTTAATTAAAACACTACAAAAAAACCCCCTTTCACATTACATTCTTTTAAATTTTCATTCTCAAAAAACTATAATAATTAATCCCTTTTCTAATTCCTAAAATCTCGTATAATTTACTTTGTATGCGCCTTCTCTTATTCATCAACCCTTTCTACTCATTCTACTAAAACATATTAACTCCGACCTCAATCGCGCACGTCGATTAGCATATATAAAAATATAAAATATAAATATAAATAATAAATAATTAATAACAATAAATAGGCAAAATGAGTGTTGCTACAGCAAGTGAACAAAATGGCTCGATTACTCTTGGGGCGATGGCTACCCAGCTTGGGATAAATTTTGCAATAGGTGCTGGAACTTTCATATTGTTTGGTTTTCTTAGGCCCAGGAATGGAAGTAAGTAATTATAATTATGATAGTCATTTACTTACAATCAATGCTTTATTTTTTTTACTAACTATTTAATTAACTAAACCAATAGTTGTATATGCTCCTAAATATAAATATTCATCGGAAAAGTTTGTAATTTTTTCAATGATTTTTCCATTCATCTTATATATATTTATCATATAAAAAAAGATTAATTAATCGAATTTTATGATTATCACTTATTTAGAAAACAACCGCCGAAACTTGGCTCAGGGTTATTTTCATGGGTGATGCCTGTACTAAAGACATCTGAATCAACATTAATAGAAAAAATTGGTCTTGATGCTGTAATGTTTATACGTTTTATAAAATTTTGCCGGAATATATTTTTCTTCATGTTCATACTCAGTATACTATCATTGATACCGGCGGACGTTTTTGGAAATGTTAAAATTAAAGAGCAATTGAAAAACAGAGATTTGGCTAAATTGGATAGCAATCCATTACTTTATTTAAGTATAGGATTTATAACTGATGTAATTATTATTATTATTATTATTATTATTATTATTATGATCTTTGTATTATCTTTCTTATAATGAATGGCAATAACAATAATAACAATAATTTTTATTACAGGTTAATTTATATTGGATTCATTTAGCATTTACATGGATTTTTTCATTATTGATATTTTATGTTTTAAATGGTTATTATAAAACATACACAAAATTAAAATTGGGATATTTTGAATCTGATGAATATCGCAATTCACTACATTCCAGAACATTATTAGTTATTCATCTTCCATCATCTTTGCGATCAGATGAAGGGTTACGTAATTACATCCATTCCCTTGACATCAAGTATCCTGTTTTAGAAGCACATGTAGCAAGGAAAGTTGGTAATTTGCCCGACTTGATTAAAGAACACGAAGAAGCTGTTAAAAAATTAGAAGCTGTTTTAGCAAAATATTTAAAAGGTAAACATATACAAATATGTATGCGTATATTATATCAAAAAAAATTAATTATAAAGTATTTACTTATGTAAATGCAATTTTTTAGATCCAAATAGGATTTCTAAAGAAAGACCAATGAATAGTGTAAGTGGATTTTGTGGCGAAAAAGTAGATAGTATCGATTATTACACTCGTCAGATAGAAGTATTAGAAGAAAAAATAAATGAAACTCGTTCACAAATAGCCCAACAAAAGGCGACAAGCTATGGTTTCATTTCCTTTTCAAGTATAGCTCATGCTCATGCTGCTGCAAAAGATTTAAATAGATCAAGTATTTTAAGAGGTCCCGGATCTCCTTCAATAATGCTTTCACCATGGCCAAAAGATATTATTTGGGAGAACCTTCAAACAAATGGAACTGCTAAATGTAAGATCAATTCATTTAATCTAATATAAATTATTTTGCAATATTAATGATAATAATATGATTATGAATTATAATTACAATTTAGGGACAAAAACATTAATTAGTTATAGTCTTTTCTTTTTGCTCTGTTTCTTTTGGCTAATTCCAATGACATTTCTCACAACTTCTGCTCAAATCAGTAACATTAGAGATTTAGCTCCATTCACCAGGAAATTTTTAGACAATAATAAATTTATCACTGGATTAATAGAGGCTTGGATGTCTCCACTGTTAATGGCATTGTTTTTCCTTCTTTTGCCAAAAATATTAGGTCTGCTATCTAAACATCAAGGAAAAATAACTAAATCTTCACGTGATCGTGCTGTGCTCTCAAAACTTTTTTTATTTTTTATCATAAATAACCTGATTATTTTTACTCTCACTTCAACGGCATATGATATATGGTCAACAATAAAGCAAAAAATTCAAGATGGTGACACTGATCTTCGAGAGATATATAATGTTTTCAAAGCTCAAGATTTTACTCAAGAATTAGCTAAATCATTGGTTAAAGTTTCGACATTTTGGATTAATTATATCTCACTACGTGGTGTTGCTGCTATATTTGATCTGGCACAGATGTTTTCTTTAGTTTGGACATTTTTGATGAAAATTTTTATTACTCCAACACCAAGAAACATCAAAGAATTTTCTCGTCCACCAGATTTTGATTACCCCATTTATTACAATCTCCATTTATTTTTCTTCAGCGTCGGAATAATATATAGTGTAATAGCTCCATTGATTTTATTCTTTTGTTTTACTTATTTCGCCTTAGCATATTTGGTTTACCGATATCAACTCATGTAAGTTTCAATTATTATTATTATTATTAGTATTATTGTCATTTTAAAAATATTACGAGTTTCTTACATACATGCATGCATATATTTATAAACAAAATATTAGGTATGTTTTTACTACTAAAATAGAAACTGGAGGAACTTATTGGAGAGTGATTTTTAATCGTGTGATAGTTTCAATGATTATGTGGCAAATATCAATGATTGGAGTGATGAACTTAAAGGCTGCGAGACAGCAATCAATTGCTATAATACCACTAATTATCATTACAATACTATTTAAGATCTATTGTTCCAGAAGATACGATTCAAAAATTCATTATTATCAACCAAACACTAAAGAGCTTGAATTGTCAGGGTCATCAGATATGCATAAAAGAAAAGACAATGTTTCCAATAGATTTGGACATCCTTCGCTTAGTTGCGAATTAATCACGCCAATGGTATTCTCAAATGTTAAACATTTGTTGAGTCAGGTTTATCATGGAAGGCTAGATGAAAAAAGAGTCAGTAGACGAGGAACCATTAAATCTATGGCATTTGTATCAACAAATGGTAAAAAAGGTTTAAATTTTGAAGCGGTTGAAGACAATGAATTGGATATTGATGAATATACTTACTATGAGTCTCAAAATCCTGGATATTATGTCGATTACAATGACCCTTCATATATACCTTATAATTCTTATTCAACTTCATATCAACAAAGACAACCAACATTACCACAGCATCATCAACAACAACAATACTCACCACAGCAACCACATCAACGAAGACCTGAACATATTGAATTGCAAAATATCAATCAACCCAGACCAGATTATTATGAAGGATATGAGCCTTCAGAGTATTCATTACAACACTATGGAAAAGATAATTCCTCCATCTCAAACGTTGCACCGTCTTCTACTGCTCCTTTATTAAGGCAAAGTCCTATACCACCTGACAATTATAGTGAAGTTTCAGTCAATGCACCTTCTTATCATTCATCAAGAACACAATATGGTCAAGAAGAATCTTATCAACCGTCTCAACCTCCACATCAACATCATCAAATGCCAGCTTACCCACCACAACAATATCAGCAGCAACAACATCAGCAACATCGACAGCAAAGTCAACATCAACAGCAAAGTCAGCAGTGGCATCAACAACAACAGTGGCAGCAGCAGCAACAGCAGCAGCAGCAACAACAACAACAACAACAACAACAACAATATACTCGAACTCCACAACCTCCTCAGCATCAACAATTTAATAATAATAACAATAATAATTCACGATATGGTGGTGGATCCCATTAATATAATTAATTTAATAATCAATTTAGCCGATCTATTTAAAAGTATATTTTATAATATAGAATCATAATATTTTATTGTTTTGTGTATCATAAGTGTTAAATGTTATTTGCATTGTATATCTTCAAAAATAATTAAAAAAAAAATATATAAAAAAATAGAAATTGCAATTGCAAGATACTTTTTTAATCATGTCTTTTCATTGGCTTGTTTAGCAAATTTATTAAGGGCCATTATGAATTCCGAGAGTTTGAATGTTTCCCCCTTTAATTTTGTAATTATCCCTGATGGACTTCCTGACTATGGTTGTAACATCAACAATGCCTTGATCAAAAATAACTGATTGCAATAAATAATTAGAATCTATCTCTTCTTCCCTAAATCTTCCATTGGTAACAAATAAAATAATTTGATTTAATATCGTAAAAATTTAAGACGTTGATGTTGATGGTGCAAAGTTAAAGATTTGAATAAGTTGGATGTTCCAGAAATTAGAATCTTATTTTTAAAAGTGTAACCACAATTTTCTTCGATATTAATAGTATCCACATTTTCAAGATCTTTGATAAATGTACATGGTGGTGAATTGCTGCTATAGCTCTCAACAACATACAAATGATTTAATTTAATCTAGCTCCACGAATAATTATTGTGGCTGTTTTAGTTAATTCATCCTCTAACCAATTTAATAACATAATGAATATAAATACTATTTTATGTTGTGCGTGAATTTGGAATCTGCGTCAATTTGAAATCCACACGTGTGAAATTCAAATTAGCCAATCAGAATTTGTATTCAAACACCCGCCCAATATTTAATTTTCACGCACAACATTTTATAAGAGCAAGTGAATTGTTGAATTATGAATCCTATTTTTTCAGACATGCCTTCTTGTAATATACTAATATCATCTGAAACACGTGTAGTTATATCATCAGTTGATGTATCATCGAAAAATTCGATATCTTGATAAATGATTGATGAATAAAATAATGTACGAATTCTCTAAAAATAATTTAAAACAATTAAAAAGAATATCATAAAATATCAATACCAATAATTTATAAAAATTTTTTTTTTGTTATTTTCTTTATATCTGCTAAAGAAAATGGCTCATTAATTAAAGAAAGAAATCATTAAATCTAATCCCTGCAAAGATGATTTATTTTCATTATTCATGCCTCTTTATTAATATCTATTAATATTATCATCATTAATACTTGAAAAAAAAGGGAATTAACTTTTTGTTATTCATACTCTCTTATTATTATCATTGATATCTGAAACCAAAAGAATTAATTTTTGTTATCCATACTCTCTTATTATTACCCATATATTAATGTTATCTAAAACAAAGAGAATTAATTTTTTGTTATTCATGCTCTTTTATTATTACTATATATTAATGTTATTATCATTGATATCAGAATTAATAAACCATGGATGACGAATGATGATGATAATAAAAATTTTTTGCAGATAATAGATAACTACACGATTATTATTAATTGATTTTTCCCAAAGCCCAAACTTTGGTTCATAGGTAACCTTCCTTTATATGGATTTAGAAACAACAATATACTTGTAATACATGCACAAAATCTCAAGATTTAATTTGTCAAATTTTTTAATAACTCTCTTATAAACTATCTTTACTTCTATATGACGCCAAGCTGGATTCCTGTTTAAATTTATTATATAAATTCGAAATTTAAAAATTTAAGATCTGGCAATGTCTACTCTTTTGCCTGGTAGAGTTCATAAACTCCTCTCAATAACAACTCTTCATCAACCTCCATTGGATATTTAGGAATTTGTAACTCTATTGGAAAGATTGCTTCTCTTCCATGCATTAGGTAAAATGGTTTATGACATATGTAATTTTATTAATAGAAAATTAATATACAACCTGTTTAACACTATATTTAATGTCACTTGAAATAAAAGAATGCGGAATAAACTAAAAGTAATTTTTTATTTAAACTTGAGGGTAAATACATACAGTATATTATATAATTTTTTAAATGATAGAATAAATTTATAAGCATTGTTCAATTTCCATCTCTAAGAATTTTTTTGTATACATTTACCACTACCTTCTCATATTTTTGGACTTCTTTTAATGCCAAACTACCTACTAGTAGAAATTCAAATAATTCTAATGGATGTAAAATATTTAATACTCTCTATTACTGTTATAAAGAAAAAAAATTTATCTAACGAAACCATATTCCGATTTCTCAAAGACAATAGTTTAAAAGATCATAACATATATCATATTATTGAAAGTAATAAAAAATTGTCACATTAGGAATAACTGATGTTTTCATGCAAAAACAAATAGGATGCAAATAAAAATAATTTGAATTATTGGTTTGTCTTGTTTTCCCACTAGTTTTGAGAAAAGTTGCCAAAATGTAAATTCTCTTTTAAAGAGCCAACTGAAACTAGAGAAACTGGATAATCTTTACTTTTACTAATTACAGTCAGAGAATATGCTAAATTTGGTCATATCAGCCGATTTGGTTTTTTGGGCCTTTTTTCAAAACTTATGTCTTATTGTGTCTCTCGATGTTAAACACGAGTATTTTTAATGTGTAAACTGGTCGGTAGAATGATAATTACCTTAAAAAAAATTATTTGCTCCGCTAAAAAAACTAATTTACTATCCATCAACCCGTCAAACCAATGGGTTTTTACTATTATAAAGTATTCATAATGTTATGATCATACAGTACTGAATTTTGGGGATCAAACAAAATCAGCGCATATGTATTTCCTAATTTATAAATGATAAACGTTCTGAAATTTCTTTAGAAGAAAATTTGATTGGCTAAATTTATGCAGATCCTTTCGTTAATAAATATAATCTTTAAAGGAAGAGAAAAACAAGAAAATCATGGCGAGAGCTTTATTGACTGGTCATAAACTTCCGAATCATATGGGACTAAACAATATGAGATGACATTTTTGCAATTTAACATATATTATATTATCCTGATAGATAATTTTAATATATATATGTACACATTAATTTTTTCTGTAATAGTTATTTAATGTTTATTATAATTATAACCGAACAAGTTATTCTTTTACCCATTAAATATAATTAATATACACAAATAAATGTGTTTATAATTATAACTAACCATGGTATTCCTTTTAACTATAGATGCCGCCCAAATCCTAAATTATTTGGGATTACGGCATCCCAAATGTACAAATTAAATTTTGGAAAGCCTATTGAAGAATTCCCAAATCCCAAATTAATTTGTACATTCCAAATTAATTTGTACATCCCAAATTACTTTGTACACCCCAAATTACTTTGTACATTCCAAATTAATTTATACATCCCAAATTAATTTGTACATTCCAAATTACTTTGTATGAAATCAAAATGATATTGTCACCAATTATTGTTTGGGAGAGTGTGTTAATTGATGATAACAATATAAAATTTAAGATTATGTGGATCAGAATGAATTGGCTACTAATGAATTAGTTTTATTAGCAAATAATTTTGGTTTAGTGATTTAAGAAAAACGTTTTATTTAGTCAAAACTAATTTATTAACTTATTTCTAAGTTAATTTTTATTATAAAACTTTAAGACAAAGTTATTTTACAAGCAAGTCGAATTTGAGCTTCTTTTATACAATTAAATTAATTAATAACTACTTCATTGCAATCTAACATTCTAGCCGCGATATCGCGATGTAACATTCTAACCGTGATGCTAATTTCTAAATAAAGCCAACTAATTTTAACGTTATACAAATAAAAATAAAAATGTGTCACCGGAATTAGATTTGGACGCTCTTTTGGCCGAATTTAACTAATTCCGAATTTCTTAATTTTTATTATTA